TACAGTGAAATTGAAACAAAATTCAGAGCCGAATAAAAAACTGACAACCGAAGGTAATTATTAATATATAAAAAAGATTATATTGCTATAATGTGCTTCTTAGATTAAAGAGAATAACTGCATTTGACTGCGAATAATATAATGTTATGCGAACAAGGAATAAATTATACTAATACCAAATAATGAAATATTTTAAAGATTTATTCCACATATGGAGCAGCATGTAAAATGGCATGAATGGATATATAACAGATCATTACTTTGCAAAATGAATGATTAGAGCTTATGGCAAGAAAATTTCGTCCAGAGTTAAGCAATCAAAATATTATTGTTACAGCGGACTGCACCCCAAACGTTAGTCACATCGAACAACTTTCTTTAATCATCAGATTCGCTGATATCGCTCATAATATCGCAATTATAAAGGAGCATCTCATTGCCTTTTTAGTTATTAATAAGGTAACTGGTTCAAGCTTTACACTGTTTCTATTTTAAACTAAGACCTTAAATTAAATAATTGCAGAGGCCAAGTGTACGCGAATCGGGATAACATGAAAGGAAAAAGAAATCTTATTTGTATATAGAAAATATCTAATCAAAATCCATTAGCTCTTTTTTGTGCTGTGTAGACGTCATATACTTTATTACATTGTAGTGCTAAAATATCATCGATACAATCTTGTAAGACCAATACCGGAAGTTTGACCCAGGATCGATCGCGAACGGGCTGATTGCATGATTGGTGTTCCGCACGTGTAACATGAATTTGTGTCAGTTTCCATTAAAATGTCTTCCATGAAGTCATTCCTCCTCTTTGGTAGATAACTTCCAGTATCTATGTGCGTGCTTCCAGTATTCAAATAACACATCTATTAATTAGAAATATCGTTAAGAATGTCTTTCTATCCTCACACTAATTCACAAGGCTTCAGGAAATCTTCTATGGTGACGACGAATGAATAATTATGCTGAAGCATTTGAGGACTATCTGTCTAAAGGATGTCATGATGGATTTTTCCAACTTGTAGCAATTAACTTGTAGCAGTACTTAACAGAGCTATAGAGACCTTTTAGAATTTTTCAAAGTCAGGAAGCTTGAAGAAATCCGCATTTCATTTGTCGAGATTCGAACTTCGGACCTCCCAATGTTAGTCGAACCATCCAGTTACACGACAAAGGCACGCGGAAAGGGGAAAGAAAACACCGCATGGAGAAATGCCAGAAATTTTAATTTCTCGTATAAGAATATAATTTTTCAGAATCATAGTGAAACAGCATTAGTGTGAGTTACATTTTCCTTCGACAAATGAAAAGATTTTTTCAAAGAAGTACTTATTTCGCTAATTATGTTATTTCAGGCGGTGCATTCGCACTGGCTGATATACTATAGTAGTAGTGAAACCAGTTAGTTGCGAAATCTTATGCCAATTAGTTGTAACATCCAATTATCCTATCGTTTCTAGCGTACGTCATTAAACGCTTCCAATTAATTTTATATTTGCTATTTTAATCCAAACCGCGTTTCGGAAATCCCAAACTCATGGAGCGCCATCTAGGATAAAAAATCGGAATGAACCACAATTAGTTTAAACGTTATCAAATATCTTGAGAATGGGTTTTTTTTTTTTTTTTTTTTTTTTTTATTTCCACCGAGAAATTTTAAAATGTTCACAAAGGTTTATTCCCATATCAACCCTCTGATGTGCCCCCAGGTATACGTACACTTCTGAAGTAAGAATGGCTGAAAACGAACCATGGCCTTACGCATAGCACTTTTTCGGGGGTTCTTAAAGTCTTCCTTCCTTGTTTTTATTACAGAAGAATAGGATTGTCAGGAATTACAAGATAATTTGGGATCTTCTAAAACCTGAGACTTACCTTTTGGGCCTAAATTGTAATCACAGTTTGTTTTTCAAAATAAATAGTTATTGAACCCTCTGGAAAAAGAACCGGTTTAGGTGAAAATACATTTCGAAAATTAAAAAAATTGTTTTTCTGCTTCTGTAATGGCAGAATCTTCCAACTTATGGCAACTAATGGCAGAATCTTCCAAAGTTTTCAACTTTTCTTTTACATCTCTAGTTGCATGTTGGAAATCTTAAGATACATCAAGTTTATTTTTTGTCTTGGCAATTTTATAACTTATTTTATTTAAAATATTAACTTTGATCTTTACTTCAGTGTTCAAAATTATCGCCAGATAGCTTACTTTCTAAAAGAACTTTTAATTGCTTTGCTTGTCATTCAAATACCCAGTATCCATGATGAAAATGTATAATATGTCTTGTACAGAAACCAGTTTTGGATGTTAATAACATTCTCTTGTTAGATTAAAAGATGAATATGACGAGGTTATTTACTTCTTTTGTTTATGAATAAAACATATTTGAGATGATTAACAATTCCTTGATGGAGTAACATTTCATTGTAATTCTGTCATCACCGTCTTAGCGTTTGTCATCTGTGTGTTAAAATTCATTGTAACTGTGTCATCTATAGCTATTTGTTTGCATTTCATATCAAAACACTTTACGCTATATTCATTTTTGTCTTCCTACAAACACTGTTATTTTCTTTCTTTCTTTTTTATTTAAAATTAAACAATCATTTTTTGAAGAACAACAAAAAATAGGTCGTGAAATATTAAATTAATCAATCAACATTAATTAGTATTGAGATAAAATTGAAATTGAAATTTCTCTAATATGTTAATGCAGTATCAGATCTCAGATAAATTTATTTTACTGATATGGTCAATAGTGTCATAAGCAGGATGCCTACCATTAGTATTTTATATTTATTGCTGAATATAATATTTTATAAATTTTAACAGTCTAGAACAGGGGTCGGTGACACGGTGCCCGCAAAAAGCAAGTGTCCGCGTTCAAATAGCTAAATCCTAAAATTTTTAGATTTAGAAATTTTAAATAAATAATCGTAATTCTAATAAATAGTTTTAGTATGAATTCTTATTTTAGCTTCACCATTTTAACAGTTGTACGAATTATATATTTAACCATTTGAAAAAACTGAATCATAGCGATATCCAGATAACACTACGTGATTAAATGAATCAATTTTCAATTGCTAGAAGCTTCTTATTCCGCAAACAGTGAACTGTTTTCTGTCCATGTTACCCTAGTCTATTCCGTCCAACCCCGACGTCCTAAGCTTTTACATCCGTTAGCTTTGTTCCTAAATTAAATTGCCATTTCATGAATTTATATTTAAAGCTCTAAGCAGAGTATGCATTATTCTCTTACTGAAAATATACAGATAACCGTTTTTGCAGTGGCCGGTGGTAAGAAAATAATTTATTTTTAGCTGATGGTTTGTGTGTGAACAACTTATTTCAGGTGTACAACAACAATTTGTAATTTCGGTACTACTTGATTTTTCCCCCGATTTCAAAAGGGCACCAATATTATCGCTGAAATTAAATTACTCGCATCTAATTTGTGGCTACCCTATATCTGCGATTGCTTTTAATATGGCATCAAATGGCTTATATTTCCCAGAGGATTTCAGCCACATGAATTCCGAAAGATATGACTGTAGATGGAGTCCAGCCGTACTCCTTTTCTTTCGGTTTCTCTATTTAACAGAGCTCCACAATATAACCACAATTTATGTGTGAGCACCCGATCTTGGATCAACAAAATCAAATGTGTAATTAATAGTTAAATGACTGCAGCTAACCTTTTCAAGCTCCCCAACAATATTAATATATTTTCGATCCTTCCACTACATCGTCTACAGTCATTGATATCAGTATGCTTGCTTCCCGATTTGGAACCTCAATAAAAAAACATTCGCCACTTCCAAGGCATAACTCGCCGCATATCCACCCTCTTGTGGAAGAACTCGGCCAGCGTTGTTTTTTCATCCCACGAACAAACGCTTGTCAGTTTCATCTATTTTTCAAGGCTGACTTATTCGTCCCTTAGGTCGAAGAAAATCTAGCGAGCAAACCTCTCTCATGAAACTATTCCAGGCAATCGTGGTATTATGACTCATTTTGAGCTGTTTATCCTCCCATTTAAGCGATATTAGTTCCTCTGCCAACAGTAGATAATGCGCAGCGTTATTAGGGACCTGGAACCACTAAACCCAGTTGTTGGATTTAATGCCTTTTTTTTTTTTTTTTTTTTTTTTTTTGTTTTACAGCTTTTCACGTTCACCTCCACATACTTTCGTTTACATATAATTTCATTTCGTGGCAATTCACACATATTCGACTGTAAGGCAATATACTATGTTTTCCCTGGAAAAACGATAGGTATCTTCTTAACTCCTCTTTAAATTAAAATCGCCAACTTTCTTTTACAATATTTAAATTGAAAAAAGACAATTACGATATCATACGGTTCGTCAAATAGAAATCGAAAGTGAAATTACTGTTTTTTACATAAATATTTAAACTAAAAAATGAATATTATGATTTCAAGCCGTTTACATAATTTGGCAGTTTATCACGGTGGCCGTGAAAATCAAGTAATACCCAATTTTCTTGCTTGGCTAGAAGCATTTATGAACAATGTACTGTAGCAAAATTTTTTCATAAGCATTTTGGCAATAGCAAAACAAATGTTAGAATATTACAATTTTTACAATCTAAATAAATGGACTCTACTTTAATATTATTATTATTTTTTTTTTATTATCGCAGCCGCCATGGGGGAAAAAAAAAAAAAGAAAAAACAGAAGACGCATCATTTTAGTGTTGAGTAGGAAGAACAATTTTGTTTCATTTATTACAAAAAAAAAGTAGATGCTGATTATGCAATTCAGCTGTAGCTATTACTGAAAATGTAACGCTGAGAATATTATGGCGTACGCCGAACGATCACTACAATGCCAGCCGAACTCCTGTGTTTCGGAAATATGCCTTCCTAGTAAAAAAAAGGTTGCCAATCCCTAATCTAGAGTGTGCAGTACTAAATTTAATGCTCCCTTCCTACCGAATAACAACAAAACAAAATGATAAATTCATACCTTACCTTCAAGAAGTAGAAGATGATAATGAACAAACCAAATCAGTTTTAACTGCACATTAGAATCCTTTGCATATATTATAATCTCCTTCGTGGCGTGATTGGATAGAGCATGGGCTAGCATTGGGCAGGTCCGGTGTTGAATCCCAAAGACAGTACTCTGAATTCCTTCAGTTTCCTGACATCGAAAAATTCTAAAAGACAGTATAAAGAAAATATATTTTTTATTCTTAGCATTTATCTCTCATCAACAGTAATTTAAACGTAGATAACTAAGGCAATGAAAGATCGCTTTCACTTTCTAATTTCATTAATAGAAGATAAAATGAAAATAATTATGATGCATTCTCTTATGAAAAATCTAATATGTTAAAAGGATATCAAATGAAAAAGCAAATTTAATTGACGTTGGTAAATTAATAAACCATTGTCGGCTGGATACCTTTAGAAAGTTATGCACGAAGGTTATCTGCCTAAGAGGAGGAATACTTTCACGCACAACTTTCTAAGGAAGATGATTGGTTCGTATTCACGTTGCACATAGAAAAAAACACGAAAACCAACCTTTTCGCCTATGAGCCCGTTCGCCAGACTTTTCGCCTGTGATCGAATTCCCAACATTAAGCAGTGTTAGCCACTCGGTCATTGATAAGGCAATTAAGAGACGAAAGTGTAAGCTCTTCTAAAATGACTTCATATAAAAGAGACAAAAGAAATGTTTTGCCTTATATGCTCATATAAATGATTCGATTGTGCCAAAGCATGCAATGGAAAGGAAAGATATCTTCAACTGAAAGGAAGAGATATCTTCAAGGAGGAACTTTCTAGGAGAAACTCGTTCGTATTCAAATTAAATATAGGTAAAGCTATTGAAATGACCTTGCAAACAGCATTTCGCCGAGATTACAAAAATAGGTCGAATAACCAGTATTTAGCTGTTTTACATGCTCGTCCACTTAAAAGGTTTGTTGTTATTGCTCATGCTCATTAGTCATCCCAAGCCCACGAAATTCCTAATGGCAAAGAGCGCAAGATTACATCTGCCGTTGGCAACAGCCTTGAGCACCTAACAGGTGACAGTGCGATTTGGCTAAATTCCGCCGCCAATTCTGATGGAGAGCATCCCGGGGGAGGGACGGGTCCAACGGTCTCCCACCCCTCTCCCCTACCATCAAACCGCACGATAGGACTTTCGGCTCGCCGCATATGTGTGCCGCCATGCCACACCGACACCATGCATTTACAAACATCCATGCCTTCTCCGGGATTCGAACCCGGGATTTTATGTACTATGAAGAGTTATTTAGTTTAGAAAAATTTTATAAAAGGAACGAATAAATACCTCCCTTTTTCTCTTTCATGTAAGAATATCTATTAAAACATTAAAATCAGATTAAAATTTGAATGGTAAAATTAAGTGCTAGTTTTATAACTGAGATTCCCAGCAAAGATTATTAATAATTAGAGGTCTAAGATTCATATAGTGTTATTCTGATTGAAAAGAAACAAAATCAATTAAAATTTAATACATTTTCTCCCAGATTGCCCTATCAACGACCGAGTGGCTAACACTGCTTAATGTTGGGAATTCGATCACAGGCGAAAGGGCTGGCGAACGGGGTCATAGGCGAAAAGGTTGGCTTTCGTGTTTTCCCCCATGTGATATTTTTTTTTTAGTTAGTACGAAATGTTTTTACTAGGTGGTCACGCTGATTGTAAGCCTCAAAGATTTGAAGAAATATTATACATTATTATATATAAAATATAATTAATAAAATTTATAATATATAATATATATTACAGAGGGTGTTTATACATTTTTAGAACGATTTCGGGGCCGTTTAATTAGTTTTTAAAGTGCAAACAGTATTTTTTAATATATTCGACCAGATAACCCTTTTTCTACAATATAAGTCTTCGTTGTGATTTTCATGTTAGAAAGGTTTTTCGTAAAATTTCTAGGAGTGCTGATTTCAGTTCCTCTTCCACTACTTTCTAAAGTCCATCAATCCTGGTGGGTTTGCTTTTAGAAAGAGAAAACCCACTAGAAGAAAAAGATCAAAGTGCTCTTAGAAAGAGCTCTAATAGAAAGAGCTCTTTTCAAGAGACCAAAGAAACAATGTCTATAGGTGAACCGTAAGGAGACTTTAGCATTAATACGTTGAAAATGTATATAAGCAATGCCTGTATTAGTCTTTTTTTTTTTTTTTTTTTTTCAAGGAATGCAGTGGTACTTATCAAAGTATGATTTTATTTTGTCTTGATGAAGTTTCACACTTTGAAAGTCATTGGAATAAAGAAATGGAATTTCTTCTGTAAATCTGGGACGTAAAACGTTTTCTTGAGAGTACGTTGATTTGGTTTTAATATTCTTTTTCTACTCTTTTTATTTTTAATTTCCCCTGTAAGAGAATCCTGCGACAGTCATAAAGCCCTTATTGAAACTTTCTTTGCATTCACGGAACCAGGCTTCTACAGACTTTTCTCTTCGTTTTTTATAATTAATGTACCTTTTTTTAAATTCTATTTAATTTTTTGTAGTAGTCATTTAGGTCAGTGATCTACAAAAAGGGATACGCGTACCCCAGGAGGTACACAAAGTGATCCTTGGGGGTCCACAAAGAAGTAAGCTCATGATCACTTGCATGTTGAATGATCGTATATATTATATTATATTATATTACAGGGGGTACAAGTTATAATTATTTTCGTCTTGGAGATATGCGATAAAAAACAAGTTTGGAGATCGCAGATTTAAAAAAAAAAAAAAAAAAAAAAAAAAAAAAATGTTTCATCAGCCGTTACAATGTTTATTGCTGGCCATTAAAATTGCAACACCATGCAGGAAAGCAAATACAAAAAAGATATTTATTGCACGTAAACAGTATGGCATGAAGACAAAATGATTAAATTTGTAAGCATTTTGGAGGTTTACAAGGGTGCGAAATTAGTAGAAACAGCTGCCACTCCTGGCAGCTAAAATGGCCCTTACGCTATAGGTATTGAGGGTTAAACTGGGCTTGGATGACAGAAATGGGCAACTTATTCCATGCTGCTTCAAATATATCCTACACTTCATCAACCGTATTAGTTGGAGAGGGGTGTATCCAATGGCTGCCCAAACCAACACACCAGGTGCAATGGCCCTATGCCGATATCGAATGCAAGCAGGCGACGTGCGGTCTCCTCAGACCCTCCAGACACATATATGGCCGTCAGAATACTGCACGTAAAAACGGGACTCGTTAAAAAAGAAACATTGTGCCACTCCTGTACCCAGCTTTGTCGTTTGGTGCACCAGAGGAGCCGTTTCTCTCTATGTTGTATTGTCAAGGGAAGCCGAAGTAATGGTTACTGTGCTGATAGTCCACGCTGCTGCAAACGTCAACGCACCTTACGAACTGATACTGGGCGTGCTGCAAACGTGCTCATTTCCTGACAAATGGCCAGTGATGTGATCGTACGGTTTTGCAAGCCTGACCCCACAATATGTCTGTCTTTTCTGGCGTTAGTCATGGGGGGGCGTTGAGATCCTGTATGCCGTTCAGTATGACCCGCAGCAATTCATTGATTACTATTAGCATGACAGTGGTTGGATATTGACCAATGCGATCGGCGATATCATGGAACGATAATCTACACTTTCGATAGGCAATCTATCGAATTTCGAAACTTGAAATTAAGCAATTCCTCTTCGAGGCATAACACAATATTCTGAGCAAACTCCAACCTTACGTAGCACTTTTCGAATGAGAAACTCGCTACACAACTTTTCTTTTATGCATTGCTTCAGATGTCGTTTCTCCCTCCTGCGTCGTCTAAATGCGCTTAAATACTAATTATTTGTATATCCCAAACTCTTCTTCCTTTCATGTGATTTTTGACGTTCGTCAGATCATTCCTTCCTGGTGTTGCAAATTTAATGGACATCAGTGTATTTCTATCCTATTCGTTTTCATAAAGGATTCTACAAATTGTTCTGCATCGAGCCACATGCCTCAGCATCAAAGCTGTTTATGTTTTTTAGCTTTATTTTAAATTGTAAATCTTGTTTTATTATTTAGTGTTGCTACAAAAGTAGTTATAGACTTTTTACAATTAATTTTCTGTGTCGATAGATTTTTCTCTTGTTACCAAAGATTTAATTTTAGCGACATTAGAAGCAACAGGCACCTTTTTCGGGTATTCGTTTGGAGTCTTCTTTCCATGTAAAAGTAATGACTGACGGTTTTTTCTTTTCCGATTAATAATCTTGCTTATTTTTCATTTACAGTGTCTCACAAAAGTGTTTGCACACTTTAAGAATCTGCAGAAAAAGCGCTGTAACCCGGAATTGAATCCGAATATAAAGTCCAATATTTTTTTCATACCATCTCCATGTGATTTTGAATAAAACCAAACTTTTTAATTTTTAATACTGACTTACTTTATTTTTGTAAAATTGAAAATGTAAGGAGGCACCGATAAAACACGCCACGAAAGTGATCGTACACCGAAATATTCTTAAAATTTCATAACTAAAATTATCGTCTACCAAATCTTTTTTATTTTTGTACTTAGGTGATATTTAAAAAATTGTTTGGCTTTCTTTTTTGCTTGCTTACTTCGTTATATTTTATTTAATGTTTAAGAATGTATTGTAGTCGTAAGGAAGCAACGGACAGCATTCAAAAATTTGCAATTTTTTATAATAAGGATGAAAATTCGATTCGGAATATCGCTAAATTAGTAAATTTATCCCATTCCATGGTGCAGTACGTGATAAAATATTCTAAAAGAGAAAATCGGATCCAAAATAAAATAAGATTGTCCAGCAAAGAGCATTCGACGTGATTCAACGTGATCAGAGATTTATAGATAGAAAATTTGTGAAAATTTCACGTTTGAGTGTTCTAAAGATTTCTACAAAATTTACTGAAAATGTTTCTCTTTCAGGTTTCACTTAAAACTGTTCGACGAGTGCTCAGATAAGCTGGATTACACTGGCGCTCTGCTCGAAAAAAATCTTTTAAAAGTGCAAAAAATAGAAAGCTTAGGTCTTTTCATCTCAAAATCAATGGTAAATAAGCCCGAATCGTATTAGAATCATGCCTTATTTGCAGATGAAAGCAAATTTAACATTTTTGGCTCCTATGGGCGTATAATTGCATGAAGAAAAAAAATGAGGAGTCTAATCCCAAGACCTTGGTTGGGACAGTAAAACGTGGCGGTGGAGGTGTTCCAATGAGAGGGTACAAGCCAGTATCAGGATTAAATAGTTTAGTATTATTAATGGCGCAATGAACCATGCTCTTTATTTAAATATTTTAAAAGATAATTTAAAATTATACCCCGAAAATCTGGATACAGGGAACAACTTTATTTTGTATCAAAGAATCCTAAGCACACGGCCCTCAACCTTCGCCTTTTGAGTGTCTATAATTGCCCCAAATTCTGAAAACACCACCTACAGAATACATTTGGAGAGAATTAGAGTACGAAGACACATTAAAGCAAAAGACGAACTAAGAACAGTAATGATGGAAGGAGGGAGGAACATTGATGCAGTGCAGATATTACAATAAAAAAAAATTAAAAAAAAAAAAAAATAAAAAAAAAAAAAAAAAAGAACTAGTTGACTCCATGGCCCAAACGTTTGAAATATGTCATAAATACTGCAGGATATACTACAAAATACTAACTGACAGAAATACTACAATGTTTACTAATATATGCAGATTTCTTTGAAGTGTACGCAGACTTTTATATGGTAACT